TATCGTATGTATAAATGTATGTATGTATCTATGTATGTATGTATGTATGTATGTATGTATGTATGTATGTATGTATGTATGTATGTATGTATGTATGTATGTATGTATGTATGTATGTATGTATGTATGTATGTATGTATGTGTATGTATGTATGTATGTATGTATGTATGTATGTATGTATGTATGTATGTATGTATGTATGTATGTATGTATGTATGTATGTATGTATGTATGTATGTATGTATGTATGTATGTATGTATGTATGTATGTATGTATGCATGTATGTATGTGATGTATGTATGTATGTATGTATGTATGTATGTATGTATGTCTGTATGTATGTATGTATGTATGTATGCATGTATGTATGTATGTATGTATGTATTATATTTGCATAGTGGCAATATACACGTTTTGTTTTCGTAATTTGTTTTTCTTGTTAATTTTTGCCTTTTAAATTTCTAAGTTTTGTAACTACCGTAACTTTTTTTTATTCAGTTGTAAGCTTTGTATGTGTAGTCTGCTTTGTGTTGATTTTGACAACAATATTAGCATGAACTAGAAGCATGATAAGAACTTATTTGTATCATTTGTATACCAGGAGAAGTCTTTTGACAGGGTCGATAGACAAAAATTATCGACAGTAATGGCTCGATATGAAGTAATATAACACCTCACTGAAGTTTGCAAAAGCTTAGAGAGTGATTGTAAAAGCGTTGTTAGAATAAATCACGGAACATCTAAGCCATTCAAGGTAACAACTGGAGTCAGCCACAGATGTGTCTTATCACCAATCCTGTTTATCATATATATTATAACAGATTAAGTAAGGGTTCCAGGCCCAGGAACAAAAATAATAGTAACATCAACGAATTACTCTTTGATGATGACCAGGCCTTTATTGCAGTTACATCCATGAATTTACAACAGCATCTCACAGACATGAATGAACAATGCAAATCAAATAACAGGAGAATCAACATCGAAAAGACAGAAGTAATGTCAATACGAATAAAAAATCAGGATTTAAACACAACATTAGAGCATACATATATTAGCCAGACATCTGAGTTTAAATATTTCAGAACAATATTAACTGAAGATTGTAAAGTGGACGAAGAAATTTACATCCAATGAAGTAAAGCTGGCCGAGTATTGAGACAACTAGCTCCCTCTTACAGCATAAGGCAGTCCCATTCAGCACAAAGAGACATCTCAAACAAAGCATATTCATTCCCATTCTGTGCTGCCAGTGCCAGACGTGGTACACCAAAACATAAAAGAAAATTAGTAGTGGCGTGTAACGGTCATAGCCGTCATGTGATTGTGTTGGGAAATAAGAACTCGTAAGGGCTTAATGTGCCAATTAGGCAGACGTGATGTTTAATATGACTCTAAATTGCAGCAGTGAAAAACTGCTGAAATTAAATTTGCCTACACCAAGATCCTTGCTGAGACACTGTCATTACAGAGTACAAGAAACTGAAGTGTCGTAGCAAAATGTTTCAACGTAGTAGTATCCCAAACTTGTATCGGAGGATCTTAAAGATTTAGGACTATCAATAGGGTAATTTCTTTTTAGTTTTTTTTTTTTTTTTATATACCGTTTGGTAAATTATACAAAATACCACGAGCCGTATTGTGTGGTTGGGCTATCAGAAAGGGAATGAGAATGAAGGAAGGAAGAGATAGCTGCAGAAAGGATGAGAGTGGAGCGTCTAAGAAAAAACACTAAACACAAATGATGGCAGCATCGGTCCTGCAATCCATTCAAAACAATTGGGGCAGACTTTTCTAAAGACGAGCGGGTCTTGCTAGTCACACTTACCATCACCGTGGGCTGTGAGTCCCATGCATCTTTACAGCAGAACATAACAGTATCTTCTGAAGACTGAAAGATGACAACGACAAGGCTAAATTTTTGAATTGTATTCAGCTATACGTGTATATGTGTATATTTGTGTATACATGTATATATCACCATGCAGTGGCAATGCTACAATATATATATATATATATATATATGTTTTAGCATTGCCGCCGCTCTGTATCGACAATGGGCAGTGGGATAACATTAACTAGGCTCCACACAAGAAGCACACACATGGCTATTGTCTCCCTTCCTATCTGATCTTTATTCCCCATTGAAGCATAGGCCCTCAACAAACTCCGTCAAACCGTCAGTTTTGATTGATTCTATCAGTACCAATGATCACGTTCAACCAAGGCCGGGGAGGGTTTCTCTCCTGCCCTTTTGCTAATATTACTAAATGTTATCACTGTCGTATGTTGTCATTTCATTAAGTTTTGATTTCTGCTTTTAATCGTGTTCTTTGCAACATGCCTGACTGGTCTTACGTTGGCGGATCTGTCATTAGTGCACATTCCACTGACTGTTTGTCTTCTACTGCTTCGTCGTGCCTGGGAGCGCTTTCGCTGTCGGAATGATCTTCTAAGGTTCGGGGAGATAAGTCGTCATGGGCCTAGTATCTCTGTTATACTCTGCCTCGACACCGCAGAGGTACAAACCTAGAGACCACATCAAATATAACTGCCGTCTTTGACAATTATTGAATTGACCATTTTCATACCGAGTGTGTTTACTTTTCCCACTATTTCTTAGTACTAGTAACGCCATACCTCCCTTTTTTCAGGGACAGACCCGTTGTTAGGTGTGTCCCGCTCGCCCCGCCGGTACTCTGAACAATCGCTGCTCATACTATTTTATAACACTTTAGACATTATCAGCTAAAAAAAAAAAAGAAACATAAAATATAACAGATACTTGTAATGCATAAGAAGTGTTGATGAAAGTCTTCACTAAAGCATATTTTTCTTTTCAGTGCGGCTAAAGCGCGAATTCTTTCATTTATTTCTTGACGACAGTGATTCTCAATTAAAAATTATATTGCCTTGCTTGGGATGTCCAGTTTACAGTTTCACATATTAGGGGAATGTCCCGTTTGCAGCTGAAAAATATTGGTAGGATGTCCTGTTTGCAGCTCAGTACACAAATAGTGACCCTAACTAGTACTAATTATTAAACATGTTCCACATGGAAGTCGAGTTTTAGATTTAAATTATCCCTGCAGCTCTATATACTAGTAGAATGTCCTGTTTACAGCTCAGCATACCAATACGATGTCCCGTTTATAGCTCAACATACTAGTAGGATGTCCCGTTAACAGCTCAACATATTAGTAGGATGTCTCGTTTACAGCTATATATACTAGTAGGGTGTCCCGTTTACATATATATATATATATATATATATATATATATATATATATATATATATATATATATATATATATATATATATATATATATACACTAGTAGGACATCCTGTTTACATCTTTATAAACTAGTATGATGTCTAGTTTACAGCTCAGTATATCAGTAGGATGTACAGTTTACAGCTCTATATACTAGAGCTCAGTATATAAATGGTCACCCCATCTAGTACTAATTATTAAACTTGTTCGACATGGAAGTCCAGCGTTAGATTTAAAATCATCCCTGCATGGGGATGGGGAGATAAGGATGAGGAGATGGGGATGAGGAGATGGGGATGAGGAGATGGGGATAAGGAGATGGGGATGGGCAGATGGGGATCAGGAGATGGGGATGGGCAGATGGGGATGGGGAGATAGGGATCAGGAGATGGGGATGGGCAGATGGGGATCAGGAGATGGGGATGGGCAGATGGAGATGGGGAGATGGGGATGGGCAGATGGGGATGGGGAGATAAGGATGGGGAGGTGGGGATGAGGAAATGGGGATGGGCAGATGGGGATCAGGAGATGGGGATGGGCAGATGGGGATCAGGAGATGGGGATGAGGAGATGGGGTTGAGGAGATGTGGACTGGAACGTATAATAACCAAGACGGCATGGTGCTGCTAGGATCACTAGGGCAACAAACGGGCAAACTAATATATCTAGAAATGTGATCTTGGGCCTAAGTGGTCTCGAAGAATGCGCCAGCCTCCAGTGCTGGATGTCCAGTTTTTAGGTCCAGGTGAAGGCTGGGATCTTTTCACGTGGACTTCTAGTAATTTCCCCTGGTCTCTGGATAGTCAGATTGGACCCCCGTGTGTATTGTTGCGCTAGTATAAAATCCCCTGGCTGTTGGAAATCCTTACAATTGAAATTTAACTTAAAAATCTACCCAAAGTATTTTAGGATCCTCGCGGGTGCTATGGAGTTCATGCACTGCGCTGAGATTCTTGTGACTGCAGGCTTTAGTAAGAAGGAGAACGGAGCACTTACGGGTTACCACCCTTGGGACATGAGGTTGATCCGTGGTTCAAATATAAACAGAATGTGATCTCTATCGGCTGCAGTGCATAAGTGAAACTGTCAGTCAACATTATCAAGAACTATACCCAGGTAAGAAACACTCCAACAAAGACTAGCTGATACCCGTGGGAAAACATGATGTGTTGAATTCCCGTACATGTTTCTCCGAGGGATTAATGTATTAGTCTTACATAATCAGCTGTTTTCAACTTGGAAGAAGAAAAAAAGAGCCATACGACGTAATCTCATAGAACATTATGTTTAGAAATCACGAACATTTAGACTGACCCCTTGAGTCAACTATCATAAGCACGCCAATCAAACATTTTGTATGCAGTGTCCATGTTATGTCATGATTTGTTGAGTGTCACATGTTCATACTGATTCCGTTCACAAGAAACAGTTCAAAAACATAACCAAAAACGAATGTGCTAACACGCAGTATTGAATTATCAAATAATTTCATCAACTCTCGACAACAATACAAATATGTAATGAAAGAAAATTATAATTTTATTTCTGCTAAATTGCCCTTTGTTTTAAAACGTTGACATTATATAATGGTTTCTTTAATATTAATAGATTAAGAAAACACAAAATATAGAACTTTAAAATTGAAAATTGTATTATATATTAAAAAATAGCATTTGCTGTACTAAACAGACAGTAAGTAAGAGTGTTGGTAGCTGACTGTAGTTAAGGAGTGGTAGCTGTTTGTTGACAGTAGTCTATGAGGTATGTGTAAACAGCCTGTCCGTTGATGCAGGTAGCTTCAATGTATGAATAATAACTAAGTGAACAAAACCACTGAATAAGTTGATGGGGAATTGGAAAAGGACAAGCCACTGGCTGAGACATGCTTAAAAATACCCATGTACTTGAGCTCAGTAGTGTAAAAGCTAGAGGGATTTCGGTCAGCTGTGAGTCTACAAGGGAGAGGGTTCTCAATGATACTAGATCTGAGAATGCTTCAGGTGCGATGGTTGAGATGGGGTTTCTATCCATATATAGGGAGCTTAGGAGATTGAGATTTCTGAAAGTTGTGTTTGTAATGATAGTCAGATTGTTGAAACCCAAGTCTAGGTATTCCAGACTTGAAGGAAATGAGTTCGATTCAACGTTCGTAATAAAGTTGTCAGACAAGACTAAAGTGAAAAGGCTTGGCATGCTAGCGATATCTTCTGGCACATTCAAGAGACTGTTGTCTGAAAGATGCAATGCTGTTAAAGACGTGGGAAGTGAGTGGGCAGGTATATCTGATAATCTGTTGCTAGTTAACCTAAGGATCGTTAGATTTGAAAAGTTTGAAAAGTTTGCTACACCAGTCAGTCCACATGAATCTAAATACAAATAAGACAGCTTCGGGGCAAATGGAGCCCCACTTAGCTTCTCAACCTGAAGCACATCTGTAAAATTGTTGTTACTTAAGTCTAGGGTGTTCAGATTTAAGAGTGTGGACAACGCATTTGGCACTTGAGTCAAGCCAGTCGACGAAAGGTCTAAATATATCAATATATTCTTGACAGAATTAAAAGCATCATCAGGTATATATTTCAGATCGTTGCTGAGTAGGTCGATTTTGCGTAGCAAACGAAAGTCAGAAATCCAGCTGGGCCACGCAGATAAACCCATGTTCCTAAGTTCTAGAGATTCAAGTGTTGTAGCAATCTGTTTCAGTGTAGCCGCATCCCATTCTTGTATTGGTACATGTTCAAGATAAATATCTGTCAAATTGGTCAGTTTCTTTAGCGCTGTTGGGATGCTTTTCAGCTGTGCAGTATCAATTGTTACGCTTTTAAGTGTCGTTGCCGATGCATCGAAGGCGTCTTCAGAAATACTAATTAGTGGATGGAGATACAGATAGAATGATTTAAGTCCCGGAGGAAGACTAGCCGCTGTTATACTTGTTAAGCTTCCTTCCTGAAGAAGAAAAAAAAATACATTTGATACAATGCCGGATTTATCGATAACGGAAGTGCTGGAATGCAGCAGTCAAGAAGAAAACAAATTAGACAGGCTCAGGCGAGGACGTGGACTGAAAGAAGAACATGAGAAACGAAAATGTTCCAGACGTATTGCCGTTAAGCAAGGGATTTTTTTGGAGTGTGAAATGTAGCAATGATTTGCAGCAAAGATTGATTTGATTTGATTGAAGAAAATATAATACCGCAATTGGGGCATTCCCATAAGCGCTCTGTCCCCATCTTCAGCAGCCAACGAAGAGTTCCTATACTAATGGTGCCAGCAGCATTCTGACTAAACGTCCGTTTTACCTTTCATCTGAGCCTCGAGCAGCTGCCAGAACCTCTCATCACTCCCCGCTGCATCAATCTCACCAGACTGTGGTGATCTATCTGCTCCCCCGAACTGTACACACTCTCTTACAAGGCACCAACTACGTCTGCCTTATCATGTATCAGTATTTCACCAAGTTGTGCAGAGCCAGACTGTCTGTCCGCCTGTTAATTTCCCATTACGCCTACCTATCCCGGTGAAAAAAATCAAGACAATAGTCCTCATCCGTGTCCTCAGCAGTGAATCATGCCACTATGCACGACCTTTCTCAACATACTTTCTGAGTCACTTATAATCACGATGTGTGTATGTGTCGTGTTCTCTAATCAGCGGAAAGCTGCAGTGACTGCCTCCACCTCTATTCATAAGCTGGATGTTGTGGTATCATATGCTGGGCTCTCCTGCACCAAACGTCGGTCATTACATTTTATTCAAAGAAGCCCCAAGCTCTTCCTTTGCCTCTTGACACTGAACCGTCTGTGTAAATGATCAAATCCTCTGAGCGAGCATTATTTCGAATTAATTGCTGAATTTCCATCTCCGTGGCACCTGCTGGCCAGTTTTTGCATTCCCGGCCCAGTGTGATTATTACCATACACAAATCTGACTTTTCAGGTGGCACTTTGACCCACTCCTCTCCTCGCTTAACGTTTTCAAGGATGCAAACCTGTCTGATTGTGTCTTCTGCCTGAGTCATCCATGACTTCCCTTTTATCAGCCACTGACCCTAACTGCACCCAGAGCTTCTTGCAAAGGGTGCTCTGTGTCTACAGCTACCTTAAGATATGACTTCGCCTGCAGCACCTTGTGCCTGCCTGCAACAGTCGGGAAACCAAGGATGTTTCGCACATACCACTGGGGCGTCTCTGGTGCAACCCAGAATGACCCGCATAGCCGCATTCTGTATGCGCTCTAGTTTGTCCGTATGACTCTATGAGACAGTAAGCAGTCCCAGGCCATAACCCACCACTGACAGGATCAGGTGCTGATACAGTGTGAATAGCATTCTCTGCTTTATGTCAGTTGCAGTCCAAGTCTTCAGAGCACTAAGTCCTTTTTTAGCATCCTGCCACAACACTCTCCAAATGGTACCTAAAAAACATGCTCATGTCAAATATAATTTTCAGATACTTCAGCTTGCCCTCTCTCTCTCTGTTGATGTTTCTGCCATCTATCGCGAGGCTGGGGACATTAGCTCAAACGATACTGTTGTCAAGAGAACACCACAAAACACACGCTTTTTACGGGTGGACGACAGCTCTCATTTCTGTACACCACATAGTAACTGTGTCTACTGTCGCTTGCAGCTCCCGGGCTATTTGTTCCCTTCCCCCCTCCCCTCCATGCCTATACGCAAGTATATCATCTACAACATTCAGTATCCTTTCAACTCCTGGTGCTTCTAAGCTTGCAATCTTGCTCGTAAACACGTTACAGAGCACAGGCGAGATAGCGGATCCCCGTGACAGTCCTGGGTACTTAATTTATAACTTACCCCTGACGTCACGACAACGTCACGGGAGACATTCCAAATAAATGTTAGGGTGTTCAGGTTGTGTCGCGCGCCCACGTGGGTAAATACACTGATATAGTGAGGGTGTGGGTTTGAACCTTAACAATGCCCACCCACGTGAGAAACTGGACTATTATCTAAGCTATGTTGATCCTAGACAGTCCTGGATAGCCAAGAAAACAGCGAGTGGCTCGTTCCATGAATTGAAAGTTGCTGTACTTGTATCCACAGGAGTAGGAGAAGGGATAGATAGATATCAGGATACACCCACTGTGATATTATCTCGATACACAGTTAACCCCTGCGACTATTCTCCTCTCCTGGCATTACTTAAAAGCCCCCATCAAGTGATTTAAATATTTGTTAGCTGAAGTAAACTAATATGCACAAAGACACTTGAACCTAAGTACACAATTTACTCAACTATGTTGTAACAACATCAAAAAGATTTATTTAATAAATCTGACTAAAATAAAATGAACTTGTTTAGGCTAGTAGAGTTGAAATGATGTGGATGATGAAATCATAAAGGTATTGGAAAGTAACAACCTTTGGACAGTTCTCGGCTTGAGACCCTGCCTATCTTTTCCAGTTTGTCGTCCTCACTGCTTTCTGCAGGTCGTTACACTCGACGGTCGGCAAATAATGGATGCCTACTAGTCCCTGCCCAATGTGGGAACTGGAGAATGAAGAAACAAGCGCATATTTGTAGTATCTGCTCTAGATGTATACTAAGCATGTATATTATACTAACATCAAGCATGTTTATTTAAATAAAACATTTCATCTCTCCCTCATGCTCACATTCACTCCTGTCCAATTTGGAAGGGCTTATGTCTCACATTCCAACTGTTACATCTTCTGCCTTCCTCTACACGTCCTGTAATGATAGTCAAGTCTTCTACGTCAGGTGCCCTCTCTCGTACAGACTCAAAATGGCAATCAGTCAGACAGAACCAGTTCTGGAATCTATGCTTGGAACAATCGACGCGCCCAGAATGCTAACAATAGTTCTGGGGCGAATCAAATAACAAATCTCGTGGATTTACTCTCCGGGATCAATCTCAGCATTAGCCTCCCGAGAGTTAAACACATTTCAGTGTGTAAGCTGTATGTAATACAGATTCACATTAACCACACGTGAAAAGATTGCCAGAGTTATCTTCACGCTTGTGATTTCTAAAACATGATAGTTCATTAAATTTCAATGGCAACAACAACATTTAGGTTTTACAACATTGAAACACATGTACACGAAAAACATTCATGACACTATCAAATAGAAAATAAAGCAATGTGACAGTGCCCTACGAGAATGAAGAAATGTCCGCCTAGGAGTACTACAAAGTAATGAAGACACACTTGAGCAAAAACAGTTAGATTTCTATCACAAAATATAGATTTGAACCTAATTTCGATCTTACCTGGAAAAATGAAACCACAATGCCAAAAGTTCTGTCTCAAGCTTAGGTTAAGCCCAACAGATGGCATGTGCTGGACAGGATCTCATTTACCAGACCTAGAGTTCACCCCTTTATAACTTTTATCAAGCTCCTCCTACATTACGCCTAAAATCATTCTCATTCAAGGATGTCACAGCTCCTCCCTGTGGGTAAGTTTATTCGCTGTCAGTCAGGGCTGTACAACACTTGTTTAAATTCCCACGCTCACATTCTACAGGTTCAATTAAGCTGATCAAGGCTAATCGGCCAAGTCACACCTCCAGTCTACTTCACCTGTCATCACAATAAAATCAGACTTTGTCAATTCTTCTGCCAACACTTTCAGCTCACTGTGTCAATATTGACGATCTGACCGGCACTCCAGTTTAGGTAACCTCAGGGGGAGATAATGGCAATTAGCCCTTGTTATCTGTTCCTGAAGGTCTGGCAGGGGGAATAAATATCTGACACCAACAAATGGTGTGCAAATCTCCAGTCAGTAAGTCTGCTTGGTCAGTCTTATCTCTGTACCTTAACACTTAACATCTGGGAAAAAGTTGTAGTGTTTGATATGACCAACGGTCCACTAGAATTAAAGGTTTGATGTGGTTGTCTTACTTAGATTAAGGATGTATCCAAATCCCTATTTTCCTGTATACTTTCAACATACAAAGAAATAAAAGTAGGTTGAGGAAAGACATTTTGGAGTCACCGAGCGTATTGTCACAGGTTGTAGTTTCTCGCGATTTATCTACAGCCAAGTTTAGGGTTAGGGTTAGGGTTAGGGTTAGGGTTAGCATTAGAAGACACTAGATAAACACTCCAAAAAAAAAAAAAAAAAAAAAACACCACACAACAGCACACTTCCACCCCTTGAAATAATAGACTGTCAGGTCAGCTGTGGATTTCCCACAGGGATTTCGTGTTTAAGGTGCGTTATAAATTAAGAAGCCAGTCCTGGGGCCAAAGTGCATGGTTCTGAGGTCCATGAGCCCAGTCGGAGAGCTACCCGACGTGAAAACAGAACAGCTGCAACCCAATTCACCAGCCATGGACTGACCTTCAGTGCAGTCATCAAGATGTCGTATACTACTCTGATAAAGGCATCCTCGAGATCCAGTGCTACCGCCATATTTTTCTTTCTGTTCTGGAACCCTTCATAGACGTCAAAAGCAAAAATGGCCGCATTTGCCCAAGTGTCCTTTCCTGGTCTGAAACTTCCCAAACCTCTCGAGAGAAGCTTCAACCTTTCTAAAAATGCTTGCAGCTTTACAGAAACTATTTTCTCCAAGACCTTTCCAACTGTGTTTTGTAAGGTGATGATTCTAAAGTAACTAAGCTTTGAATGATCCTTACAAGTTGTTGGTAGTGGGATTAGATAGCTGTGCACCCAGTTCTGCAGTACTGATGTTTTCTGTATGCTCTTGTTAAAACAGTCGGCAATCTCTGCCAGGTCTACATCGCTCAAAGCCTTCATTTGGCCATAACTGACCCCCCATCAGGCCCTAGTGCAGTATCATTTGCTTTTTTTTCAGAATTTGTTTGATATCTTCTACTCGTATCATGTCTTCATAATGCATATTCTTTAAGGTGTCAGCTAACTGCATCCCTGATGTCTACATCATTATGATCTGTCTGAGCTATAAACCTCTAGAGAAAAGCTTCCACTT